CTTTGCTGCTTTTCTTTTTAAATTGATTCCCCAGTGGACTGCTTCATCCTTCTTGCTGTGACTTGACATAAGAAAGGAAACTAGCAAGCTGTTGCCAATTTCATTCCAACTCCCAAATAGCTAAGTAAGCCAGGGGAAAAAATATCACTGCCTTTTGCTAGGACTGTGGAAGAGATAACCTACCTAGCTAAACAAAACATTTCAGCAGTCTATTGAAAGATAGTTTTTTTAAAAAATAAATCTAAGCAGAAGTGCTTTCCCCAAAGTAGATGTAAGTATTAAACAAAACCAAAGGCCTATTTTGATAATGCGTAACCATCAGCATGATTAAAGAGCTGTAATAAAAGATCTGATCGTGTTAACTCTTCTGATTTAATGAAAGAACCGGTGGGTAACATGGACTCTTCAGGGAAATGAATGGTTGTGCATTTAACCCTAGGAAGATTCTGAAAAGGGGAATCAAGTTTTATAGCCTAAATTAAAATGGCTGTGGAGGACCCGAGCAGAACCAGAATGGGCAGGTCATTCCTGTCAATTAGAACGTAGCATTTCCCGACACGACAATGAAATACAGAGGAGAAACCGGACATCTGCCTTTCTTCTTAGTGGGAAACACTAGTTTTGAGACAATAAAGGAAGTCAGAGATAGAGGTTGTGTTTGCAAGCAAAACGTGCAAACCTGGCCTTAGTGTGAGTATTGTTGCAGTTTGTAAATCATGCTTCCTAACTTAAGGATGAAAAATGTACCAACTGTTATTGCTTAGACTTAACCTTTGTGGATTTAGCTGTTATTCCCTTGTATAGGAGAGCTCACTGGTTTTATTTTCCAAAGTTTCCCGAATTCCTCTTGAGTTTGCTATAGCTCTATCCGTTACATATTTGTTTGTCTGCTTGCTTCTTTTGGACCACTGGCACATTGTCTTTAGGCATTCTGTTTTTCTGATGAAGCAAAGAAACTTCTGCTGGCATGAATGAAATTGACTAAGCCATTCAGTAAACCAGCATAGAGTATCTGGCTTGTTGTTTCAAACAATAATTTGTATCTACTTGCTCTGAATCAGACTTCAAGAGGGGATTAGCAAATATTGGCTCCCTCACATTACACAAACTCAGGACTCACACAATTTTCAAACAGGCCTCTGAACCACAGGTGGTATTCAGCAGGTTCTGACCAGTTCTGGAGAACCGGTAGCGGAAATTTTTAGTAGTTTGGAGAACCGGCAAATACCACCTCTGACTGGCTCCACTTCCATCTACTCTCTGCCTCCCGAGTCCCAGCTGATTGGCTGGGTCTTCTTTTGTTGCCCTGCACAGGAGAACGGAGCTGGAAAGCAGGTTAGTGGGGTGGGGAGGGAATGGAGATTTTACAGTATCCTTCCCCGGCTACACCCACCAAGCCATGCCCACAGAACCGGTAGTAAAAATTTTGAATCCTACCACTTCTCTGAACACCGCACTTTTTTTAGCCAGACAAGAAAAATATCAGATATGAATTAATCATTAAACTGGAAGAAGGGGATAGTAAAAAAGTAGCACCATGCAGTGCTTCTATTGGCAGCTTCTAATAGCAACCGCATCCTTTTTCAGGAAGGTGCATTTGCCTTTCCCTGGTGCAGTTTTGGGAAAAGATGTTTGGTTTAAGGACTTTCTCTAAGCAGGTCAAAAACATGGGTTGTTTTTTTTCAAAGCTTTAATAAAATCTCCAATTAAAAATAATATAGATCATGCCTTTTCTAGCTGTCATCATGAAACAAAATAAGAACATTATTCAAGGGAATTATCACTGAAGAAAGTAATAGCCAAATATCCATTCCACACCCATTAGAAAGGTCCAGGATCATTTGTCTCACCCACTATTAACATGAAATATGCTTTCCTGCTTGTATTTTCCTAGATTGACCTTGCTTATTTACAGACATCTATAAAAGATCCAGTCAAGACTGATTTCCAATTGTACGCTGCTGTTTTTTTACTACTATTACATTCCTCCCTCCCCCGATAATCCACGAGTGAAAAGACACCACAATGAACTCTGTTAGCAGAAGGATCCTCCATATACATAACCTTACAGATGGACATCCAAGACCCATGGGGAACCGAGATGTTTTTCTTTTAAATAGAAAGAATGTTAGCATAAATAGAAGATGGAAAGAAATTTCATGGCAGAAAACAGTATCAAGTTTCTAATTACTTGGATGTGGGAGAACCAAGAAAAGATATTATCATTTCAATGCATGGCCATAAAAGTGATTACTGCTGGGTCACAGAAAAAAGGATGAGGCAGACTTTGGTCTAAATTCAATCAAAAAACCTTCATGCAAAGGGTATGCATCTTAATGAGGAAATTATGAAATCCGCCGTTGTGAAAAGGTTTATGTATCTTTATTAATTTGCTGGGACTTATGTGCTGCTCTAACCCAACAGGTTCTCAAAGAAGTTCCTTTGAAGAACAACTACCAAACTAAAAGAGTCACTGAGCAGATACCCTTTGACAGAACTAAACCACTTTCATTTTCACAAAATAGCAAGACAAAGTGACAGAAGAATTTGGCATTGTCTCTGATTCGCTGGCATTGTTAACGATAAGTGTAAAGGGCTGAGAGGAAGGCCCGTGTGAACAAAAATACTTTTAACAACATTCTCTACAAATTGTTCTTCATTCACATGGACAAAATAGACTTTTTACACTACATATTCAAACAAAGTAATTTGAATGCATACAGAATAAGTGTTGTGGACAAAAGAAAGGAAAAAGAACACAGTATGCAAAGTAGAGTTCAAAGACACATTCATAGCATGTGATACATCAGAGAAGCCAGCAGTGGGTGCTGGCGATCCACAAGACAAAAATTCATTTTACAGTAAATCTGTGAAATGGTTCAACCCAGATTTTAAAAAGAAAATGTTTTTGCCCAGTTTCAAACTTCCACTTGTGTAAACTTTCAAGATCCACAATCCAAAAAGTCATTGTTGCAACTCGCTCTTGATTTCCCTAAACCTGTGATGGTGAACCTATGGCACACATGCCACAAGTGGCATGCAGAGCCATTTGTGCTGGCACGCGAGCCACAGGCAAACTTACCTTACTGCGCATGCGCGTGCCTCACAGCTGTTTTTTGGCTGGTTTGAGGCCTTTTTCAGCCTCCCAGAGGCTTGGAAAAAGCGTCTGCAAGGATTTTCAGGACGAATAGGCCCGTTTTGTCACTTCCTATAATATGGGAAGTGACAAAACAGGCTTATTATTTGGCCTGAAAAGCCTTGCAGAGGCTTTTTCCAAGACTCTGGGAGGCCGAAAAAGGCCTCAAACTAGCCGAAAAATCAGCTGTGAGGTGCAGTGCAGGTAAGGGGGTGGCGGGGGGTGGGGATTGCACAGGCATGCGCAGGGGGCATGGGGGGATGCACACTGCATTCTGGATGCTGGCACGCAAGTGCGCACGTGCTAATGCGCACACAATTTTTGGCACAGGAGCCCAAAAAGGTTAGCCACCACTGCCCTAAACACTAAAACAGCCAGGACCAAGAGATTAAGAATATAAGGAGTGAGATTCCAGCTGGACTGGACCTGGTCTGACCCCAGTTGTCTGTCTTCACAATGGTCAACTGGTAGGCACAACAATATGGAACGCTTCACACAAAATAAATTCCAAAGTCCTCTCTTGTTCTGAACTGAAGGGATATTCCTTCTGAATGGGAAAAAAAACCCACTTCCTATCAATAGGAACAGTTCACTCAAGGAACCAAGTATCCAGGCTGGCCTCTGGTATCCAGGAGGTGCTCAAGCCAGGGTTATGACAGCGATTTTGTGAGGCTGCTTTATTTTGGATTCCTGAACTGGGAGATTTTGTCTCATTTTTGCTGCCTGTGAACCCTGGATATGCTGGCTAAACATGTGTACATTAAAGTCCAACAATGTCTGGAGTGCCATGAAGTTCCCACCCACATTTACAATACTGCTCACTTTTACATTTCTGGAATATTCCTCAAATCAGCAATCCCCAACCTTTCCGGCTCAGCGGACTGGCAGCAGTAGTGGCAGGAGGAGTGCACGCCTGCCGCTTGTGCAAATGGAGCTTCACATACTCACCAGCCACATGTGCAGCCCGGTTCCCAACTGGCCGCAGCCTGCTAGCAGTCCATGGACTGGAATTGGGGACCTCTGCCATAGAATACCTACTTAGATCATTTTCTCATCAGTGATTTGCAACATTTTATAAAGAACCATCCAATAATCTGTAATAGCACTTAGACTTATATATTGCTTCACAGTGCTTTACAACCCTCTCTAAGGAAAGCACTCCAGAGGGTTAACGTCATCATTGCCCAGAAGAAAATTGGTTGCCCTCTCCCCTCTTTGTAAGAGCTTTATAGCTCCCACTGCCTTAAGAAAGTTCAAAACATTCTCAAAGATCCATCTCATCCTGGGAACCCTTTTTTTGAACTATTACCATCTGGCAGACGGTACAGAATAATAAAAACAAGGACAAATAGGCTGAAAAACAGCTTCTATCCCAAGGCAGTAGCTCTTTTGAATTCTGCTGTATAGTGCAGTGTTGGGGGTTTTCAATTCAACATGTGGAGGGTGAAGATGTGTGTTTGTGTTTATTTTCATGGTCATGATGTGCACTGAAGATGGTGTTTGATTTCATTGTACGAGGTGCAGTGACAATAAACTAAACTAAACTAAACTAAGCCGTTTACAGAGTCAGCCTATTGCCCCCAACAATCTGGGTCCTCATTTTACCCACCTCGGAAGGATGGAAGGCTGAGTCAACCTTGAATGAATGTAATGAATGTAATGAAGGAAGAACTTATAACACTTAACAAAGATTGGGGTGGCGTTAGAAGACACTCCTATCCAGGAAGAAAATTCCTGAATTTGATCTGCCTCTTACAAAGGAAACAAAGGAAACAAAAACTGGGCAGGAATCAAATAGTCATCCTACAACCAACAGAAAATCACTGTGTAATTTACATTTTATGTACAGTATATTAAACATTTTTTCAAGTCCAGGCAATCCTCAAGATTTAAATCACAAGTAGATCTTCAGTTTTCTTTCCAAATTCCAATGGTCTTTTCTTCAGATTACTAAAAAAAAACCTGTATTATATGTAGACAATTTTCTTTTTCTTTTCTTTTTTTAAGAAAGTGCAAATGTTGTGACTGCCACTTCTGCTATACTGGGTGTTGCCAGTCCCACATGTTTTCAGATGGCCATGCATCCTATCTCCTTCTGTCCATCCATGGCATATCCTCTTAGACAAGACGTCCTACTGAAGTTGTAGACAGAGAAGAAAACAAAAGGTGAAAAACCAATTAAATCCTATTAAAAGTAATCAATTGATTAAGAGATCCAGTTTGGTGTAGTGGTTAAGACAGCAGGCTAGAAATCAGGAGACTGAGAATTCAAGTCCTGCGTAGGCACAAAGCCATCTGGGTCAATCACAGCCTCTCAGCTCTAGGAAGGCAGATAATGGAAAACCACTTCCAGAAAATGTTGTCAAGAAAACTTCACAGATTGGTTGAGGATTTAGGATTGACTGGAAGGCATGAAATTATTTTAGTAAAGTTCATGAGATTTCTCCCACTGAATAAGTAATGAGTACTTTTATTAGAAACAGTAAGACTGCCAAAACAATTAGGGTATATGACCAGAGACCTTGAATAAGCAAAATATTGCATATAGATCATATAGATATACAGAGCAAACTTCTAAAGATTTTCTTTAGAATATACAGATTGTGATTTGCATTTAATTAAGAAAAGAAAACCACAAGATTTGGAATGATGCTTCATTTCCAAAGGAGATTCTAACAGCTACGTAACCTGCCTTAGAGATGGCCTCCAATTTTAAACATATTTAAAACCTTTTAATATTTAATTTTAAATATAAAGACTTGTAGAAGATTCACTGCAAGAGAAGCACTCTGCATAGCTAAAATTAGATTAATTTCTTCTGGAAAGCACCACCCTTTACCAACTTCACTCATTTGAAAAGTGTTTCTGATTTTCACAGAGGGATTTTCAGGTTCAGCAAAAAAAGGGGGTAGCTTTTTTTCACTTTGCACAAATATTAAAGTGTCATGAATAAACATCAGGTCAGTCAAACACACATCAGAATAAATCTAATCATCTACCTGAGTAGGTCAGGCAGAATTTTGGTCTGTCAGGTTTTTCAATGCTTTTTTAAGAATGTCTATTTATAGAGTTCTGTACCTATTTCCATTCTCTAACACTTCCTCCTCATGTGCAAAGCTTTCAATAGTCATTTCCCAAGCAATCTGTTTTTACAGAGTTCCTTAATGCTATTCTTTCATTCATAGCTTATACCAAGGTAAGTCCTTGTTTGAAATACAGCTCTCTTTTTATATGCTTACTTTCGCAGACACATGCTCTTTTTCAGGCCATATATCTCACAAAAAACATGTGTTTATGATTACATTAATTTAAAATAATTACAATAATTTACACTTTAAAAAAAAAAAGAATCGTAATTCCTTCCCTAGTGCCTATACCATCTTGGGTTGACAAAAGCAGGATGCAATGAAGCTGTAAAAAGCAGCATAGAATTAAAATTAAGGTAAGCACATAATCATGTAGTGTTTAGTGTAACACATCGTGAAGCGTTAATACCACTTTATAATGCCTTGGTAAGGCCACACTTGGAATACTGCATTCAGTTTTGGTTGCTGTGATGTAAAAAAGATGTTGAGACTCTAGAAAGAGTGCAAAGAAGAGCAACAAAGATGATTAGGGGACTGGAGGCTAAAACATATGAAGAACGGTTGCAGGAACTGGGTATGTCTAGTTTAATGAAAAGAAGGACTAAGAACATGATAGCAGTGTTCCAATATCTCAGGAGCTCCCACAAAGAAGACGGAGTCAAGCTATTCTCCAAAGTACCTGAGGCCAGGACAAGAAGCAATGGGTAGAAACTAATCAAGGAGAGAAGCAACTTAGAACTAAGGAGAAATTTCTTGACAGTTAGAACAATTAATAAGTGGAACAATTTACCCACAGAAGTTGTGACTGCTCCAACACTGGAAGTTTTTTAGAAGAGATTGGACAACTATTTGTCTGAAATGGTGTAGGGTTTCCTGCCTAAGCAGGGGGTTGGACTAGAAGACCTCCAAGGTCCCTTCCAACTCTGTTATCCTAAATGTAGAGAATCAAACTAGTTGTTAGTTGTGGTTTAAAAAACAAAAGGAAAGTTTTCAATGCTGTATTTTACAGCTTTGCTCATTGATTAAAAAGTGAATGAGCATAACTTTGCAGGATCCAATCTGGGTTGGGCACTAGGACTAGAGGTTTAGTTCTCTGAGCTTTTGGACTTGTGCTGGAGCCCAATGGGTCCAAAAGCTCAGAAAACTAAACTTCTAGTCCCAGTGACTGACTCAGATTGAATCCTGCAACATTATCCTGGGACACGTATATTTGCCTTCAGCCAAGCATAATTTTTGGTAGGTAATTGCAAACTTCTTCTACCATATTCTTAATAATTGTTTCCTTTACCCTTCACTACTTAACTGAAAAGCAAGCAAAAATATCATTTGGATATTATTGAGACAATTTATGTAATTCAAGTATACCAAGTTGAATAGATTGTTGTAAGATAAATAATTAATAAAAACCATTCAATAAGGCCCTTTCAAATCAGAATCATTTGAAGAAAGATGAAAATTGAGCCTCCTTCTCTGGTTTTCTTGACCTAAACAAGGCAACCCAAACTGGTGTGTTAAGTTTGCTACTCTGAGTAGCAGCCGCTTAAAATATCCCAAGTGGCAAATTACGAAAGATTTAGGCATAGGAAGGTGATCAAAACAATAAAAACTACTTACTGAAAGGATTAACGCCTTGCCTTTTTCCATGTGGGAAGCTGCCAATGCTGCCTGCAAATATAAAGAATATTCTTTTGTCTATTAACTCTAGATATTGGTCCTGTGAATGCTTTACATTTTAAGAAGATACAAAGACTAATCTGCCGATGATAATTGAAATACTTCTAACTAGAATTAGGAAGTGCATTAAACCAATTTCTTGCCTGTGATATTTTAGTTTTAGAAAACTAGTAAATGTAAATTCATATAATGAGCCATTTACTCGAAGAACATCACAAGGCCAATTTTATGTTAAGCATCTATTTTTCTGAGATCAGAGAAGTAGCAATGAATATTACTAAATCTCTTCAAAATAGGAGTGAAGTGGCTTCTCCTGTGCAATAAGCTCATTAATATCTGCAGAAAAATAAACAGAAACAGTTGGGCAATTCTGCATATAGGGCACATCCTTTTATATTAGTAAAGGATTTTGTTTTATCCCTGACCCCAAGGTGGCATGTCTCCAGGGTAGGGGTAGCAAGGGAGAGAAAGAAAATTGCTACTACAGAGTCTTTCTACAGATAAGCTGAGCTGCAAGTAATAATTTCATAGGACCCAGTACTGTATAAAGACTGCTCTTTAATTATGCGTCCTAGAAGCCAGAGGGGTACAACATACACAATCTAGGAAATCCACGATTGTACAAGTGAATTATTAGTCCCAGGGATTCTCTACTTAGCAGAGTGCCTCAGGATGGGGCTTGGTTAATCTTCACCCTAACACACTGTGGTTTCAATCCAAAGAGAAAAGAAGAAATACATGTAAACAGTAGCACTTCAAAATCAGTTAAATAGCTGAAAACTCCTGACTCCTGGTGAGTCCCTACACAGGTGCATGAAGTCTTCCCAGCAACCTTTTTTTAGAAGCGGTTTGGCTTTGTTTTCTCCCTAAGACTCAGAATGACTGGCCCAAGGTTACCCACCTGGGCTTTGTACCTCAGGTGGGTCTAATATGTACAGTCTCCTAGTTTCTAGCCTGATGCTTTAATCACTACACCAAACTGCCTCCCTTGAAAGACATTATGAGGTATAACAACATTTTTTTTTTAGTAGAACTATTTCAAGGAAAATGCACACTTAACCAAAGAAATAGAACCTGTCCCCAAATAACTGAGATCACCAGCTTCTTGAACCTTTTCTTCCCTTGAAACAACCGCCCCTTATGCATCCTCCCTTCCCTTCTCCCTCCCAACCCAAAAAGCCACAATCCCACCAAAACAAAACAACTTGGGACAATAAAGCAAAACAGGCTGAATCGTAAAACCAGTTGTTAATTCAGCTTAATCAATAAAAGACACACCAACCTTCTTCCTTCCTGACCCCCAAACAGCCTTTCAATTCCTGTAGTGAGATGGACTTGTCTTTGTTGAGATCACAGTAGTCAGTGAAGCGTCGTGTACATTTCTTGGGCTTGGCTTTCTTCTTCACGTAGCGCTTGAAGGGTTTCATCTCCCTTTTGTTGATGTCACTGCTGTTATTGTTGTCCAGCTGACTGAAGTACCAATGTACCACCCGTTCCTCCAGGGTGTGACTGGGATCGGGCTCAGAAAACCTTGGAAGACGCATAATAGAATCAGGCTAGATGTCCCCACTGAGTTGATTAATTTACAAAATTCAGATCCAGCAAGATTCCAAATAGAATAGATGCATGAACCTGAACAGCATTTCTCTGTCTAGTAATTATTGTTCATGAACAAAGATTAAAATAAAACATAATCAGTGCCATGTACAGATTTAAAATATTATGCACGCACACACACAAACGCACACGTTAATGCTATCAAGAGCTTCAGAGAGGTGCTTTTCCCCACTGAGAGTGATCCCGGTCCCCCAATGGGGTTAGGGGAAAGTCTTGATCCATGGGGGTAATTTTACTATGGGGTAAAGAGCCTGCTTCTTTTCAACTGGTATCCTCCATCAGTAATAAAATAAAAGGAAGAGAAGAAATAGATATTGTTGGTGCCAATTCTGTTTTCTCACATTTCTAGCTCTTTCTCTTTTAATGCTACAACAGACATAAATGAAAAATGTAGGAAAAGCATAGTTTATGCATGAATATTTTGTGAGTTTTGAATACCAAACAAAGAGCGATAAAGTCAGTGAGAACAAATGAAATCCATATGAATGTGAAGAACTTATGAAGGTACCTTAATATTAATTCAAGCATGTAGAAGCAATTGGGTGGCATATATCTATGCAAGCATAAACCAGCTTATATTGAGAACAGCCAACTGAGAACAGATTTTTACTGAAAAACCAAAATTCCAAAAGATAAGTCACGTACATTCATATTTTAAACAACTTATCAGAGTTCAGACTAAAGGTCTTAAGAATAAAATTACAGGTTCAGGAGCATAAATCCACCAAAAAATGAGGAAAGGAGGGAGGAAATCTTCCTTTTCCTGAACTCTTCGTGCTGCATTACTTTTGCTTTACTTCAGTAGCAGACGTGACCCTAGCAGGAAAAAAACTGAGGTAAAATGGAAGAAGGTTCACTTGTTCTCCTTTGTAGAAAAGGGATCCATTTTATATATGAATTGTACAAACCTTAATTATTTGTTTTTCAAGCAGAAAAAGCGAGAGTGTATCTCTTTCATAATGAAAATGGGGAGTGATACTTGGAAACACACAGGTACAGTAGTCCTTAACTTACAATCATTTATTTAATAGTGATTCAAATTAATGGCAGCTTCGAAAAAAGTCACTTATGACCTACATACTAATTTATGACGCTTGCCAAACAGTATCCCATAGTCACATGATCACAATTTGTGATAATTTTTGTTGGTTTTGTTAGTGTGAATCAAATTACAACCATGATGATTCAATTTACGATCATAAAAAGATCCCGTCCCATCAGGTGAGGATTCAATTTTTCACCACAACTTACAGTGGAAATTTTGCTCCCAATTGTGATCATAAGTCAAGGACTATCTGCATATGAGGAAGCCTCTTTGATTTTCATAAGACAATATACCACATAGGTTTCTACTTTGTATCATCCTCCTGCAATTGTGTCATTGTCCAGGCTAGAAACAGGTTTTTGGGTGTCTCATTTCTATTTCACCTGAACGCTTCCAAACTCACCTTCCACCTCCAGCAGGTGCTGCTGAGTTAATAGCCTGTACCATATCTGTGGTGAGAGCATCCAGTAAACTGGTAATAAATTCTACTTTTTTCCCTTCTGGGCAACCTGGAAAAGAGAGCAACTAAGTTTAAAACAAACAGGTTTCTTTTTTTCCATATCTAACTGTTGCCATGCTATGTTTCAGGCAGTTCTGATAAGATGTTTTCAGTAGGTTGAAACCTCAACTGATTCTTCAATAGCAGCAGGCATTTTCTTCTTCCACAGTAAATTGTACATATCATGGAGCTATACTGTGCGTATTTTAGGTTAGCATATATTAAACCCGTCAATAGGAATAAAAAGAAGTAATAGCAAAAGAAAACAGCAAGGGAGGTTTCATGGACACTGAAAATCAATCACACATGATCATTGGAGTTTTCAGCCCTTACAGATATTTTAAATTAACTTTTGCCAACTTCTTGGGAAGGCCCAGAAGTCTCAAACAACATGGATAGTAACAATCCCAACAGAACTGTATGCTGACTGGTTGGGGAAAGCTGTTTTTTAAATCACAATGCAAATATCTCCTTATTTTTCATTAAAATGTAATCATAGGGTCCACACAATGAAGCTTCTAGTGGCAGGAATATATAGCTGTATTGGCAATTTCTACAAGTTCAAAATGTAGCGTGTCATTAGCATATTACTAAATTATACATTGCAAATACTACAGAAAAAAACAGGATGTCTCAGTTCCACCATGATCATAATCCAATAATGAAGTAATGTAAATTAGCAATTGCACATGCTAGAAAAAATCCTGAACAGTTATTCAACCATAATGAATACCTTCTATATTTTTTAATTCAACATTTGTACAAAGATTCCTTGAATATGAGTCAAACCAAATTGATGGGAAAGAACTAGAAATTAGGACAGCAAAAGAAACTGTTCAAGCCTAAATTAAGTTTAGTGGAGAAGGGAATTACCTCTTCCCATACATTTTATGGTATTGTCATCAGCGCTATTCACATTATATGATGCATATAATGTGCACTTTATATAAGTGATTATATAAATAAAAGATTTAACATCAAAACAAAACTCTATAGTCCACTGGCTAATTATATCCAACCAATGGGTGGGACCCCTGCCTATCCTTACCACTCTTATTATTCCTTCCTTTTTACCTGGAAGTTCTCGATCTTTGAAAGGATCATCAATTTCTGGACTTCTGGATCGAGCATTGCTTTCACATACAGGGGTCTCGTATCTAAAGAATGGAAATATTTTTTTAAAACCCAGCACATTCTTAAAGCATGTGTGTCAATAACTTTCATATTCTCCAACCTTGTGGCACACCAGACTAGGGAGTTCAAAAAATTCTTTTATTTTCTATATTATCCCTTTCAAAACAATACTATATCACATTTTATTCCATGGGCATTTGAAAATGCAGATTGGGATTTTGAAAGTGTAAAAAAGTAATCAAATCTAGGAGTTGGATTTGGGGGAGACTAAATATAAGTAACTTTTCACTCTGGGACTTTTATGAAGAAGTACTTCTAAATGACCAGAAGCCGCCAGGCTGATATTTTGACTGTTGGTTACTGTATTGGGGTGATCATCACAGTGGGAAATACCATTACTGTACTATCCACCCTATTAAATAAAGTTTTTCTTCCTGAACTAATTGGGACAATCTTGGGACAGTCACAGCAGAGAACTATCCCAGATATTATGTCGTGAGGAATTTTGATTTTCATGCTGAGGTTGCCATGTCAGAAGTGGCTCAGGATTTCATGCATGCCACGGTGACAATGGACTTGTTCCAACTGATATGTTGCTTCACACAGGCACACAAGTAGAGCACACAAAGGACTTGGCATTCAAATGGAACCTGGGAAACACAAGGGATGAATCTTTCTGTAACTGTTGTCATATGGAGATCACTTTCTGATCAGTTTTAGACTGCTGGTTGTTGTAGACCTCAGAAGACATAGAGCATCAGATAAAGTGGCCTGCTCCAAATGCCTGATGAATTTGGATATTTCCAAATGGGCCCAGATGAGGGAGAGCAAGTTGAAATTTAATCCAGATATGATGGAGGCACGATTAATAAAGTACATCTGAAAACTGAAGGGAAGCCTGTTTGGGATAAGGATGCACTGCCCCAGGAAAAGGACTTCACAGTTTGGGGTACTTTTTGATCCCATCTGTCACTGTATTTGCTGATGGTTGGAGTGACGAGGAGGATATTTGCACAATTACAACTAGTGCCAACTGGACAGCCATTTATCAGAAGTGGTATAGGGTCTCCTGCTTGAACATGAGGTTGGACCAGATGATCTCAAAGGTCTCTTCCAACTCTGTTATTCTATTCTAAAAGGATTCTCTTACTAGGATGCAGTAAATATGGGCCAGAGTATTCCAACAAAAGACCCCAGGAAAATAAATAAAAGTCCAACGCCATGTATTAATCAGTTGTTTGCATGTTTGAATCATCTAAACTGAAAAGAATTATATAGGGCTGCAGTCTAATATTTGTTTCCCAATTAATAGGAAATTTAAAGAAAGTCACAAGTTTAATAAAATATAAACAATCATTAACGAATTTTATGTTGTAAATTGACACTTGGCTGGAATTAAACAAAGTAATTATAATATTTAAGCTAGCACATTTTTTTCTCCAATTTAATCACAGATGACATTAAGCATTGATACATGCATCTCAGACAAAAACAAATTAAATGGTGAATATTTTATCTTTTTCATACGTATAGAGGGAGGCTACATTTCATCATACTGTAGATTCAAAAAGGTTATCCATCCCTGATCTAAATCTTGCTTTCTCCAGCCTGCTTCCCCTTCCATGCTACGATTGATTTCATATATAGGTGAAATTGGAAGCAAACTGTTCTTACCGGGTGGAAGTGCCAGGTAGGGGGCGACCTGTGTCTACCAGAACACACCAGCAGTAGCCTGTGGACTGATGACACTGCACCGGTTTGTACAGTCCTCCAGGGGCACATTCAGGGATAACAATTCCTTCACGTGGATTCTGCTTGGCTTCCTCAAGTGCACTCTGCCTTTCTTGGTCACACGAATTAATTTTCTCTGAAAAAGAAATCACGAATTAATTGCTATTCGGGAAGTTTTACAGGAGCTTCCATCTTAGCAGCCTCACACCTCAAAAACAGAGCAAAACAAAACAAACCCCCACTTGGTTCCTATATCACAGCGGTGTCAAACTGGATTTCTTCCAGGACCGGATCAATATTGTAGTTCTTCTCCGCGGGCTGGCCAGGTGGGGGGGGGCGGAAGCGGGGAAGGGGGGGAGACAGACGCCTCCTGCAGCACCCTACCAGCCAAAATGGGACACGTGGAGGCCCCTCCTGCCCCGTTTTGGCCAGCAGGTCTTCCTGGCGAAAAACGAGCTGCGGGGGGCACACACAGTCCCCCTATGCCCCATTTTTGCTCACAGAGGCACCACGGGCCAGTCCTTTGCTATTTTCAGGGTGGCCCCATGGGACAGATTTAAGCACCCCATGGGCTGGATCTGGCCTGCAGGCCTTGAGTTTGACACCCCTGATATATCACATTACTGTAAATCAGATAGTCTGGTTTTGACTTAATGAACCACACCTATAGCTTGTTCAATAACTACTTCCTTGATTGCAATTTCCATCTTTTCTGTCAAAGAAAGCTGTGCTGTTCACTTAGTCAAATAGAAAGAAAGCAGATTGAGTAACCCTTCAATGGTTTGCTTGGGTTTCGATTCATTTGTTTTGATAATAAGAAATGGAGAAATGGAAAATGGAAAATCCTCTACTGGAACTAAAAAAATTTTTTTTTAGATATACGAATCTTGAATGCATTGTTTGTGAAAAGGAAGCGGGAACATGCATGAATACAGGGCCTGATATCCTGAAATCCTGATATTTCTAACTTGTGTTTTTCTTCTTGAGAAATAAATGACATCTGATATTTCTAACTTGTGTTTTTCTTCTAGAGAAATAAATGACATGTTATTCTACGGATAACTGAATGATGGACACAGAAAAGGAAGAAGCAAATGCAGATGTTCAGCCATTAGAAGGAGGATTTGTTTCTGTCTGGCAGAAACAGATGGAAAGGACATAGGTCACAGCAACTCAAATAAAAGCACTGATGTCAGGATTTGTCTTATATTTTGTTTGTAGAATAAAAGCTACTTCAGTTACACTCCAAATTCTATTTCAAATAAGTTTCTCAATCTCCACAGTGTTAGTGCTTTGAATAGTTGCAGCAGACCTTAAATTGGGCCTGGAAACTAATTAGAAAGCAATAAAAGCATTATTATTTAAGCATTATACGTTTTAAATAAACCTCATCATTCAGCACTTTTAGCAGCTTCTTCAAACTCTTTGAAATTTCCACACATTTTCAAGGGCTAAAGATAAAGGTCCTTGCCTTAAGTCTGATTCTTGATGACTGCATCCATGCAATTTTTGGCAATGTTACACTTCCAAATCTGTTCACTGCCTTGGGATTTGAGCCCAAAATTTAATGTTGCTAAACGAGACATTAAGTGAATTTCACCCCATTTTGCGACCTTTGGCGCCAAGTGATTCATTAAAGTTGTTAAGTTAGTAACATGGTTGTGAAGTGAATCTGGCTTCCCATTAACTTTGCTTATCAGAAGTTTGCAAAAGCTGATCACATGACCCTGGGACACTGCAACCATCATAAATATGAACCAGTTGCCAAGCATCTGAATTTTGATCATGTGACCAAGGGAATGTTGCAATGGACATAAGTTTGAAAAATGTTCCTACATTTCAGTGCCATTGTAACTTTGATTAGTCACTAAATGAACTTCTGTAAATTGAGGAATACCTGTACAAGTCAGGATAACTCTGCTTAACATCTAAAAACTTCTTGGTAGTAGCTTAAAATGATTATTGTGCATAGCACTTTTCTCCAGCAAAGAGGAGATTTTTGGACTAGATGCATTCAATTCTCTATATTGGTTTTAGAGTGACAAACTACAAGGCTTAGATACTGTAACAGGTAACTCTAAAGTAGTACATAGTATGTTTGGCAATACAAACTTCTCATGTGGATTAGGAATAAAGAGTAAAGACTTTGATATGTCTCCATATTTAAGAATTCAAGCTGCATTCAAAATTACAGGATTTCTCAGCAAAATGTACATTTGAAGAAAAATACATCATCTCAGCATATAACCATGCAAGGGTGCATAAATCCTGCTCAGGTTATGTGTATGCATGTGCTTATTTATTTAAACTCCACTCCAATCTCAAAGGGCTCTCAGAGGTTCAGAGGTGCACAATAAATGTACGCAATCAGAGTCCATAATCCATAAACTTGACTTCGCAGTCCAAACATCATCCAAAAGAGTTCCATGTGCTTCCAGAGTGCAAAGTAGAAGCCAACCCATATCTATAGGTAGGCTGTTCCAGATCAGCATTATCCCGGAGTAATAGAGCCTCTGAAATCCATTCCTCTTTTCCTTCCTAAATCAAATCGCCCAGGCCAATTCCCATGGAAGAATGTAATCCTATAGGCAGCTTGGTACCAAGCCATAAAAGGATTTATGGATTAGCCACAGCATTTTAAGTTTCATCTCGAAGCCTTCACTGTTGAAGGGTGGGTCATAAATGCCAGTATTTTCTCCAAAATCTTCCATGTACTTTGGAACTGAAATTAATTCAAATTAATGTATATTTCAATCATGTCAGTAAAATTATACATATGGCAATTATTTTTACACTAGAAGTCTTTCATTCAAATGTAATTCAGTTTGAATTCTACAATCTCAAAGCATTTTAATTTTGTCATTTTCTATGACTTTCTCTATTTTATTGTCTCAACACTTCTTGCTTGCAGGCAAATGGTATTTCTTGCTGAATCTTCCAGTGCACCATTCTTGCTACTTTGTCATGCCATTGTTTGTAGTCAGTTTGTGCAATCTTCTTGCAACAGCTGATAAGGTGGTCCACTGATTTTTTTCAGCTTGTTTGCAGAGGCAGCATTTGCTATCTGTAGCTGTCTTCTCAATTCTGGTTTTGTATCGATTTATTCTTAAAGCTTGGTCTTCTGTAGCCAGAATCAACTCCTCTGTTTCTTTTGTCAATGTTCCATTTTTTAGCCATTGAGAAATCTTATTATATCTGCTTTGCCTATTTTTTTAATATATTGGCCATGTCATGTTTTGCCTTCCCATGTCTATTTTCTATTCTTCATTTGGTATTCTTGAAGGCCAATTTGATCTCTCCTCAGTAAGTCTTCCTGGTATACTAACTTCAGTGCATCTTCTTCTCTATCCTTCAGATATTCTTCCAATGTCCTTTTTTCTTTCTTCTTCAACTGCCTGGTGCATTTGCAACATTCCACATCCATATTTTCCTTGGTAAGAAGCCATGATTCACTGTCATTATTTTTCAGGACTTCCTATCCAGGAAGTTCTGCTTGAGTCCACTATTCCAGCTGTGTATCTAATAATTGCAATTAATTATTATTTGTATTAATTGCCTTGAGTGTGGACTTTAAGATCTTGTTTAGTCAAATGTATTCATTTCTAACCTTCTTTTTAACTTCAGTGTTTATTATTATTATCAATTAATTCTTGAATTTTCCATGCTTAGTTCACATGACAAAAACATTTATGTCAATTTATGTTTTTAGTTTACAAAAGGTATCCAAATGATTTTTGAATGCCAGAGCAGAACATGATCAAATAGCACAGTTCCAGAAATAAAAGCCAAGGCTGAGGTGATTTTTTTTAAAAAAAGACAAACATATACCTGTATCCAGCTTCTAACCTTAATAGATTACTCAGTCTTCCTTTCAAATAACGTAATGTACAAATCATTAGCAACTGTAACATATTTACCTGACTGCTACTGCTGGCTTTCATAGCGCAGTTTATATTTCCATTTGTCTCATCATTACATCATCCTGTGGTTTTCTTTAAAGGCTAAGAGTGTAGAATGACTACATGCTTGAAATCTGCCTTTAACCAAACTCAAATAATTTCACAATACAAGAAACTAAGGAAAAAGTCCAAGGCTTTTACAGAAGAAGTTGTTATATAATCCAAATAATATATTCTAGGAGAGTTAAGAAACTACCAGGGGAAGGAATACTAATCTGTAAATGATCAGGTATGTGTTATTTATCCTTGCACTGTGAGTCACAAGAAATTGCTATCTCCATCTATGACAGATATGAATCCCACTGTTTCCTAGCCAATGTAGTTCTATACACAAATGAGAACATTATATTTTGTGGTGCAAATTCAGTGTGTGTGTGTGTGTGTGTGTGTGTGTGTGTGTGTATACCACTGGATTCTGGAATGCTCTTCCAAATAAGGATATAGGGATTTATAAATGGAAATAATTTAATACTTTATTCTATAAAAATATTCTTTTAAGAACACATTGTTTTACAACTAAAATTTGTTGCAGTCATTAAGATGCAGCAAAATAAGTCTACCCTTGAAGGTATAATTCCAATGTTAGAGTAACATGAAGCAAACAAGTTTAGAAAATAGAACTTATACTAATAGTTTATTAGTATAAGTTTTATTTTCTAAACTTGTTTGCTTCATTCCTTAAAATGGAAAACATGATAAAAATCCAACCAGAAACAAGAAATTGAAGTTCTTACTCCAGAGGTAGCAGAAGCTTCCTTTCATACTAAATATTGACTATCCAGATGATATGATGCTCAAGAATGACTCACACTAAACATGAGTGCCAGACCTACGCTGAAAAGATACACCTCAATGACCATCATCATATAAAATTTGTTTAAATCCAAATTTTAAAAAGGAAGATAAAAACTAATATAAGCTAATATGCAATAAGAAAAAAGAGAAAGTTAAATGTGAAAAAGGGGAGGGGGGAGTGAAACAAAAATAGAAAAGAAAGAAGAGAGATACAAAGAAATTGTTCCAATTTTCTTTATAGCAGTTACAGCTACAATTATAAATTTACATAACTCTCTTCTTTCTATCATCTATCCTATAATCTATAATATAAAAATGTTCATTTTTTTCTGCTTCACACAAAATATCTATAAGGGGATTTCTAGTCAGCAATAAATTTATATAATTATCTTTTCTCTGATTAAAAAGTCAATTTAGCTATCCCTGAAAATCCCATCATTTTCACCAACCAATCCTCCATTGTGGGTAATGCCAAATCTTTCCATCCATTTGCATATGATAACCTCACTGCCAAAATTTTTAGCCTGTCTCATATTTTTTAAAAAATTTTCACTTTTTTCTGTTTCAAGTTTCAATAAAATTTTATTTATTTAGCAATTTTGTGTTCAACATTTATATAAAAATAAGGATACACATATACCTTTTCCCTTTAATTTTAAATCTTTTTTTTTAAAGCATTACCTGAATTTTTCATACTAGAGCTGTTCAGTTTGGAATCTTTGATGACCAAGTGTTTAATCCAAAGTGTAGGGGCTGTAATTTCTGAAACACAAAGAAAGGCTTAATTTTTTTAAAAAAAATTAGGTTATTATTTATAATAAAAGTACAATGAGACCCATGAGATAATCGTAATAAAACACAGTGCACATTAAAAGCATATTAAACAAAATACCAATATATGTAGGGAGGTATATAGGGAGGTAAGGAGGGAGGGAGGTAAGTAGATAAGACAATCAGAGAGTAAAAAACATTTTATTTTCAAAAGCATTGTGTGCAATGTCTCAACATGTCCCATTTTTAAATGCAAGCCTGCCGTTTCATGTATGAAGGGGGCAACCTTGAGATTTCTGAAGAATTAAGAAATAACTTGAGATAGGCATTTTGTATTCAGAATAGAGGCTTTGTAGGAGTTTTAGCAAAATTTAAAATAATATCATGTAACCCAAATTTCTTTCCTAAATGTCAAAACTCCCATTTGTAGAGTCAGAAACAACTTAGTTAAGCTCAGCCTTTCAAAAACTCCTCCTACTAGTGCCTTGAGATTCAGTAGTTGAAAAAAAAAACATTTTCTAAGCTGTAGCCCAGAGCTATAGTATTGCACAATTTGTTTAATTCAGCAGTTTTTACATACTAATTTTCTTTCTCTGTGTTGACATATGGACCAACATAGTTTTTCAAAATTACTCACCATAAATCCACTAGCTGAAATTCTCAGTCATATTGCACGTCATATAATAAATATTTAGCAATAACAAGTATATCTTTTAGTAACTACTTATATACAGACATAATAACAATCTTTGAAGGAATACCAGTACAGCATTTTAATCTGATAAATCTATTTATTCCTGGCTGATAAAATACCAAAAAATACAGTATATACCAAGAAAATAGTTCAGGAACTATGTAGCACAATATTAATTTTCTTTTGCCGTTATGTCACAAAAATCATCTCACCATGATTCCAACCAATCCATAAAGAAATAATGTGCATAAAAAAGCAATTATCTAAAAACACAATTTGTCTTAAAATAAGATTTTTGAATAATACATAGTCATACCTGACATTTTCTTTACAGAACTTTACATCTGGGGACTGGATAATTTTTTTAAAACGCTACTTCAGAGTTTCTTACCTTCTCCATCCAAAACTGGTTGTGTTTCCATGGTGGGTGTTGGTTTTGAACCGTCATCTGAATTGAGAGTTAAAAAAAATTGAAAAGAAACTACCATTATTGAGGTAAATACTATCTACTCTCCAGTACTGTTGAATAATTTGGGATTTTTACATGGCCCGGCCAAGTCCATCAGAAGAAAATCAGACATTCACAGAGACAGGAAAAAAAGTACAAATCAGAATATAAAGGCAAAGGTACTTTATGGAACTGGCTAAAAGATTAGCAAAATACTGAAATACTTCTTTAATTCTATTTTTTAAATTAGATAATATTCCCACTTATACTTTTATCATCAACAACTTCTGTATTGCTGAAGTATGAAAATCATGCAGGTGCACTAAGTTTATCTCACATAATTTAGCTCTTCCTATGGACCTTCCTATGGACCTCTTCTTAATAAAGATGTTACATGATTTTGTGGATATAATCTTCTCAAAGTTTCTGGGAATGCAGTCCATTCACAAACTCACTGCACCAAAATGCTAATTTGGATTTATGGAGGCTTTCCCATCCTGATAAATAATGGACAGGAGAATTGGAACAAACTATTTGACTTAAAATCCCAACTCTCCCAAATATTTTTTATTAGTTTTGTTTGAAGGGTCTTAATTTTTTAACCTTGTCAGCATCAAATTTAGAATCAAGTTTTCAGAAAAACTTTGGTAATGACCATATTATTTCTAAAGCTTACAATGTAAATGATTTGATACTAATGTAATTATAACAGAAGACTATCTAAAACATATCATACACCACCCAGAGCCTCTCTCGGAGCGAGATGGGTGATTAATAGAAAACTAAACAAATAAAACAAATACAGTGTTGTTCCCTTTCTTTGTTCAGAAATGTTTGTGATTCTAGCCTATATCGAACAACATTTAAATGATATTAAAATTCACTACAGAATGAAGGAATTGCTTACATTATTCTTCGGTTTCTGTCCACAGATGCCTAGAAATAAAGCCATGTTAGCTTCTTGACTTAACTTTACAAACACTGGGTCTAGACTGTGAGGTTTCCATCTTACAGAATTATCAGCAGTGCAATATTGTCATTGTAGTGTTCCATTGCATGTACTTCAATAAACATGGAAGAGATACAATGCCTTCCCAGGCATTGAAATACCTGTTTATTTTATTATGTAAGAATATAGATGAATGGATAGATTCTTCCATCCATCCATCTGAACTGGCATTTTGGGATATTTGTTACATGCAAATAAATAAATGCCTGGACACATATTAAATCCTTAAATACAGAAACCTCTACACAAAATCATAACATGTTATACTTAATATGCAAGACAGAATTTCCCTCAGTTTTTGATTGTTAATATCTATTGTTGAATTTTACAGATTCAGTGCACACAATTACCCACAAAGAAATACCAAGAGCTGGGAGAAGGGAAGAGTTATATAACTAATATTTTTTTTAATATACAGAAAAGGTGATAAATGTATACGGTTATATGTTATAATATTACAGGATTTAATCAGGATGGGTTAAGATTTTACTTTTAAAAACTTATTTTATTTTTGAGTTTCCATAACTGTGAATTTTCACTTTTATTAGAATGTATGTGCGTTGTCACATTCACATATCTGTGCACATGTAAGGCATGACACATAGTTTTTTTCTCCTTTAGGACCATAACTTGGGATTTCCCAAAAAAGTAGAGAAGCAAGGGGTCCTTAGTGCTCTCTGAGCTTGTCTATTTTCTTGCAGACATTTCATTACTCAAATTAAGTAACATCATCAGTGCTAGGCTAACATGTTGATGTCACTTAGTTTGGGTAATGAACAAAACAATGCAATAAAACAATGAAGCTCAGGAAGCACCAAGAACTCCCTTCATTTCAATCCTGAACTAATATTCTCCTTTTATTAGTGGAGAAGTAATACGCCTTAAAGTCAATGCTCTAAAATGACAATTAGCAATGAGCCCGGAATGAGACAATAGAAAGGGAAATTATGAAATAGAAAAAACAAACATATAAATATAACATGCAAAAGCAAAAGCAAACATACAAAAGCAAAAGCGACTATTCTGTGGAAGAATCAGAAGTTATAAAAAAACACCAAGATGAACAGATAGTACAAAAGATATTTAAAAGGTCAATGAATAAGGAATAAAGAGGTATCACAAGACGTTGGTCTGTAATTTTCAATATAGATGCCACACTGCCTGCCCTAATCCTATCTCCCCTCTATTTAATCTCCCCCTGAATATGAGCAAGGAAGCAGCCACTGTTAAATGCTGAGGACTTATGTCAGACACAAGATCTCATGATAGGTTGAAATAAATATTGGGAAACTCCTGCAGCTATGAAATTGGATGATGTTGTGATTTAAGCCTTAGAAAAGGAAAAGAACCAACTACATGGACCATGAAAATATGTTCAGAAGCAGCAAAGAAGATGCTACAGCATCTTAGTAGTCACTTTGTGGAAATGGCCAGAATGTTTTTCAAAACTCTAATTATGCCCAGAGGCCATAAAAAATTGCAAACCTGTTAGTTATTTTGACCCATGAGAGGTAAATAGAATAGAATAGAATAGAATAGAATAGAATAGAATAGAATAGAA